TATGCTAAAGAAAAGTTACATAGTATTTTTCTAGCAGTGCTGAAATTTTTACCTAGATTTAAGACACTACTCTTCATTAAAAAAAATTTTCTCCTAGGAAAACTGCTAATTAAAAATCAGCATTCCTGGTAAAAAATTTTGGTTATCTTAAAACATTAACCTGATTATTATTTGTTTAAAAATGTTTAATTTTGCTGTTACTTGTACAGTAAGTCAATTAACATTAAGTAAATAAATCATAAATAAATAGCTCTGTAATAAATTATGCATCCTAGGAATCTGATAGTTGATATAATACAGAAGAAAAGGTAGAAAACAAAAATTTTTCTTCATTCTTATTACAGAAAAGCTACAAAATAAACTGTAAACTGCCTAAGCATTTTGATTTAATTGTCTAAACATTTCTCCTTTTACACTGAAATCTATCTATTCTTGACCAAAATAAAATTCTTTTGAAGATTTTTTCACTCTTACCTGACGTAAAGTACGTGCTACTATACTTTCAAGTACTGGTCCTCTGTCTTCATGCAACAGATGAACTTCATCGAGAATCAAGAGTTTTACCAGCTGAGAGAGGGCTACATCACCAACACTTTTTCTTGTCACTACATCCCATTTCTCCGGAGTAGTCACAAGCATCTAGTAGAGCAGAAAAAAGAAATATTCAGCATTTACAAAGAAAAATCCAGATTCAAATTTATTAAAAACCAGTATTTCAATATACAGCAGAGTAAATGCAATGTAGAATTTAACAAAGCTATTTTAAGTTTTACCTACTTTATATATTTGAGGCAGCAACAGTTTGCTGCATCTATGTGTATTGGATGGCTATTAGTAGGATTCCGTATGGAAAACCATACCGAAATATCAACTAGTAACTTCAAGCTACTGTGCATCCTTTGTACACATTTTCCACATTAAAACAATTAAGCAGCTATCCAGAATCAAATCCTTATATAATTGTGAGCCATTTAATGTATGTGTCCCACTAAAAATTATCTGTGATAAAATATTTCCAACCTTCACCACAGAACAGTAAACACCTAAGACCCCCCCTTATACCTAAGCTTGAGCTGACAGCTCCCAGTTCCCTATGAGATGCTTTTTCCCTAAGGCATACTTTCAAGGTGTACATTTTGATATTTTGATCCTTGCACTGGCAAAACAGATTAAACAACTTCCACCAGTCCTGGAAAAGCTAACTTTCAAATTTTACTGTTTCATGTAGGTACATCTGTGGTAAGTCTCTATTATGGTGCCATTTCTTGTGTGCTCTTGCAATGGCTTCTCTTTTTGCATAAATCCCGAAGTAACAGACTATCAAACAGATAAAAGCGAAGTACATTCAATCTCCCAATTGCCAAACAATTGTAGTACTCTCCATTCTCCACAATGACGACATATTTAGCAGTCACCTCATGCAACCTTAACACAAGAAGTAGCATTTTTAAATTTAAAATCAGACTTAAAGTGGTCACTCTAAAGAAAGCATTCCACTCCTCCCCCCCAAAAAAATTCTCAGCAGCTGTTTCAAGTAGAAATAGAAATGCATATTTCTCATATACTATTGAACAAAAATAATTTTCTTTTTAAGTGCCAACTGCTATGTATAAAACACCCATAGAACTGGATCTCATCCACTGAAATTCAGTAGTAACTTGCCTGCACGTTATAACTATGATTTAAGAGCAATTATTTATTGCCTATTTATAACAAATCTAATGAATCACTATCTATCAAAGCTTGAGGTTTCTGGGACAGGCACAAAGCTTACCTTACAGTCCCACTTATTTCAGAAAAAAAGAACTTTGAACTATTAAAATAAAGGTTACTCTGTAACTTTGCAGTTGAAAATCACTCAGAAAATAAAAGGAAAATTCAGATTCTGTTGTTTCACAGGCCCCCATATGAAAGTTTAGAAATTGGGCAAATCTTGTTGTCCTGGTTTCGGCTGGGATAGAGTTAATTTCCTTCCTAGTAGCTGGCACAGTGCTGTGTTTTGGATGTAGGAGGAGAATAACGTTGGTAACACACTGATGGTTTAGTTGTTGCTAAGTAGTGCTTACACTAGTCAAGGACTTCTCAGATTCCCATGCTCTACCCACTGAGAAGGCTGGAGGTGCACAAGAAGCTGGGAGGGGGCACAGCCAGGACAG